GTGAAGTGCGGCACAGCCCCGTTTCCCTCTCAGGCCAGGCAGCAATCCCTCCCTCACCTTCATCACTTTCCTTTTTTCCCCCCTGCCCCTCTGCTTCCTTCTTTCTGCTCCAGCTTCTCAAATGAGACTCCTTTGCATCCTCTTTGCTCTGTCATGCTGTCATCACTCCGTCTTCCCGCGCTCCGCAGCCCTGCCGATCCGCCGCGCGCCCCGGGTTTGTGTCGGTGCCACAGTGGGCACTCGGCTTCAAATCCTGACAACAAAAGAGATGTTTAAAAAAAAAAAGAGAGAGAGAGCGAAAGGGAGAAAGAGAGAGAGAGGGGTGACAGTTATGGAGATTTTTTTTTTCATATTTTAGGAAACACAAACAAAAGAAAACAAAGCAAAGAGACTGCTGGAGTATACGGACATAGCTTGTCACGTATATAAATACACATTTTCCAAGATGTCAAAGGGTTCGCTCTTATCTGTTGCTTGGCACTTCTTTTTGGCAGCTTCCTCTTCTTTCTTCTTTGTCTCTCTTCGAAATTTATTCGCCAGCTTTTTCTTTGCAGTAATTTCTCCAGGGATTGCTGGAGGTTGCCGCTCCAGCACCCCAAACAACTGGAGGACCAGACATTAATAATTTGCCCCACGATGATGATACCGTACACACACACAACAGAGAGATGAATGGGATCTCTCATTAGTAAGCAGGAGTTCCTCGTGTCCCAGTGTAAAACGTGTGTGTGTAAGTGTGTGTGTTAAGGAGGATGGGAATTGATGAGGGATGGAAGAGAATCAAAGATGATTTGTGTTGGTGAGTGTGCAAGTTTCCAGCTCCTGCTCTGGTTTTTATACCAGAATCGTTTTCAGGTTTTATCAGGCGTGGAGGGTTTTAATATATTTTTTTATTAATTTTTAATCCCCAGGAACTCGGAGCCAGCCAGTCAATGAGCAAAAGAGCCCATTAAACCAGCTTCTGGACCCAGAACTCTTCGGAAATGTTTTACGGCGCAGTCGCGAACAACCTGAAGGTCAGCGGATAGCCAGAGCCGCCCGGATCGATGGTGGTCGACACCGTGCAACACTTATGGAGAGGTTGTTGTTTTTTTTTCTTTCCCAAGGCCAGACATTGTTAGAGAGTCGATGATTGTAAACGTAAAGGTGGCCCTAACTGATTCAAATTGATCTGAACACACAAACACACACAGTCAGGCATTCAGGGCTTTCTAAGGGGACTTTAAAGGACTACTTGCTTACAGAGCAGTGCAACTCTGCACAATTTAGGTAAAAACCAGTTTATCAGGGATTTCTCCCTTACCGATTCCAGTCGTCCGATTATGAAGTCAATAACGAGATAAACATGTATGTGGAGAGTTTTGAAGAGTAAAAATTCATTCAAATGTAGTGTGGTTGTCTTTCACATCGAACTGTGTCAAATGATCCAAACCTTTTGAAAAACCTGTTCCCCTCCTCGCCTGTGGTGGTGCTGCACCAAGAACCACTGAAGGAAATGACACAAAAACCTCCAAAGAAGACACTTAGTGCAAATTCCATCTTCACAGAATGTAAACAAAAATGTGATAGATTTTAGTGATTGTAGGATTTCGCTTTTGTAGTTGTTAAAAGACAGAGGAATTTCTCCCGATAAGCGTTGGATTCTGGCATTTGCTTTGGTTGTTGTTACCCAGAATGCCCTGCACTTTAGTTTGCTTCCTGCTTTTAGAGTGGTCTCCAGTCCACTTGGCGTTCACATAAGCATTCAAACCGCACCAGAGTTCACTTTGATCCAACTGAGACCAAGGTTTTTAGGTGAGGCAGCTACATTAATTCTCTTTTAGCATGTTCTGTAAGTAAATTTCAACCACAAACTTTGTGTATGTGATGCTGAACAATTTCATCTGAATCCATCAGCTGTGGAGCATTTATGAGCTCCTTGGGATAGAAATCTGCCTTACGTTTTTATAATAATTACTTCATCAACTGGAACTGATCCGTCAAATGAAAACTTGCACCTCTGTCTTACTTTGAGGTCAGTTGAACTTACAAACCCGTCTGTGATCCACCATTATCACCTTCCTCAGTTATTGTGTGTTGAACTCCTGTGATTTGGATTCAAAGTAAGTTTTGGTGGAATGAGTTTATGTAAAATTATTCTGCAGAAGCACATAGAACAGCTTGTGTCAAAACTGTGGCGATAAGAAGCCATATTTAGTGTGTCTGATTAATTTATAGAAATAAAAATGTAGTTAAAACTAAATAAATGTCACTTTTATAAGGATTGTGTGGAGTTAAATTTAAAAAAAAAAGGCAAATAAAAAAAATTACTCCTTTCTTTAATAAAAAATACATCTGTAAATTCAGCTGCATAAACTTTGTTTCCATCAACGGCAAAAAGAGAAACAATAAAGAGCAACATTACAGGAGTCTTTCAGATCAACACAAAATCCAAAGAGGAGAGAAACAGCAGAATGAAGAGAAAAGACTGAATAAAAATAAGGTTCAACAGAAACAAAAATAAATCTACAGAGAGATAAACATCTAAATTGGCCGGGGAAAAAAAAAAAATCACAAGGTTAACTTCAGTCCTAAAAAACAAAAACTACAGCAGCTCGTTGTGAAGACAAACAGCACATGAACAGGTAACATGTTACCTGAGAGACAGAGTCCAAACCAGAGGTTCAGCACATCACTGATGTTCTCCTCTGCAGGATCATCCTGTAACACTGGAAACAGTCGGTTTGTCAGAACCAGTCCGTACAGAAAATGGTCGGATGTTCCTGTAGGTTAGCTCATCGGAGACGTCAAGCAGACCCGAGCGTCGGCCATCTTCCCAATGATCATAGAGGTGAGTGGGTTGAACGTAAACCGTGTGACCCCTTACATGCTGCTTCTTCCAGGTCATTTAAAAGGACAGTTTAGATTTTTTTAAATGAGGTTCAGAGCAGAGAAAAGGTTGATGACAGGAAACATCTTCGGTACTAGAGCTGGCTAACCCGCTACACTCTCATGAGACTGTCCCCGTTTTGACAGTCTAACAAGATCTGTGTTGCTAAAGCTAAATTACATAATTTAGCCTCTCCAAGCTGTTAGCCTTGGAGAGGATTTAAGCAGTTTTCTATAAACTTATTGTGTCAACAAGTAGAGAAACCATTGCTGATAACTGTAAAAAAAAAAAAAAAAAAAAAAAATCTAAACTCTCTAAAATACGTAAGGTTTTTTCCATAAAGACTCTGAACAGTTCGGCCTAAATAAAGCTGCAGGGTGTAACTTTTATTTATATATATATATATATATATATATATATATATATATATATATACATATTTTATGTGATATTATATGAGATCGATAATTTGAGGGAAAAAAATAAATAAAATGAGCTCCTCCGCTGTCTCCCAGTGCCAACTGGAAACAACCAATCATAGCCAGGAAGCGGGTCTTAGCATTGTCAATCAGGAATGTGTACGCACCATTCAACCTCCTTTCCACTCCCACCCACCCCCTGCTATCTGCTAAGCTACAGCTCTTTCCTGATAACAGAGAATGTTGTGAATGCTAAGGCTAGTTAGCATAGCCACCGACGAAGGTGGCTGTGTCTTCCTGGGATGGCAAGTCGTTTCTCCACAAATAAGAAGCAAATACAAAAGCACAATACACAGCCCCAAGACCCTCCCCTTGGCTCTGATTGGTTGTTTTTGAGATGGGCATTTCTTCACACTGCTGCAGCAGCTCAATTCTTCCACAGATCATCTATCTCATATCACGCCATCACAACAGTGACAGTTTTAAGAAATATGTAAAAACATTTTTTTATAAAAAGTTACATACTGCAGCTTAAAAGGTTAGAAGTGGTGATTTAGCTGTAAATAACTCTCCATGTAGAACAAATCTAGGAGGCTGAAGCTCACAGCTAGTCTGGGATGGGATGGTTTTATGAACCCTTAAACCACTGTCATGTTTGCAAAAGACCCTCTCCTCCCCCCTACAGGAAATGGAGGTCGGAGGCAGTGCGCCATCAATAATCTTCCTACGTGAAGTAAAAGTGAAGCGGCGTAAAAAAGCAAAGATTTATATGAAGAGTTCAAGTAAATGTTTTAATTTTTCCGCACCACTTTACTTCTCTATCAGATAGTTAATCCGACCAGAAACGCTCTACAGCTCGTGTTCGTCTCCCTTTTCCATAAAGCAAGTTCATTGGCAGCGCAGCGTCTCCTAACCTCCATTTCCTCAAGAAAACAACCGGCTTCTGTGTGAATGCGACTGTAGCGTTATGGTCCATAAAACCGCATTCGCATAAACCGCTATGACATATTTTGAGTTGGTTTACAATGGCAGAAGTCCGCTTTGGCCTCGCTCCCTCTCAGACTCGTCATTTGCTTCATCCTCCAATCAAAAAAACTGAGGCTAAATAAAGGAACCTTTTAAAAGAACCTCAACTCAAAAATCCTGAAACATCCATTTAAATTTTAACAATTTTCCCCCAGAGTTCCAACTTATTCAGTGCATCTGCAATACTCCTTTTGCAATGATAATACAGAGTGAAAAAAAAACTTTCCCCCACAGTGAGTCCGACTTTGTCCTGCCAGTTGGAAATGATCGCCGTCGTAAAGCTGCTGACTGAAAGCATCGCAGGGCCGCCAGGAAGTGATGGTTATGGAGCAAAAAAAATTTCACTCTGTCCGCCGTTATTAGCTGCCAACGCGGTCCGGGAGTGCGTGCAGAAAACTGCACAGGCTGAGGTTTTTGGCTGATGCATGGGAGTCCTCTCAGGGCGAAGTGCTTACGGGGAGGAAACCAGGACCCGCTGTACCTGGAGGTTGGTAATATTCCACACAATGTGTGGCTTTCACTGGCTTTTTTTTAAGGGAAGATGCAAAATAAAATATATTATATACAGTCTTTTCTTTAAAAAAAATTATATTACGTTCTTTCCTCCCCATAAAGAGTATTCATAGTTTTTAAACATCATCTTCGTGCTTGTTTGGCTTTTTCTCTTCCTTCCCAACATCTATTCATTACTTTCCAAGAGGTTTTATTAGTTTCTATAAGCAGAGAGCGAAGCACTGCACTGTGACTCACTTCCTTCTTCAAACTATAAAGTCAAAGTTTTTTTTTTCATTATTTGTAACCATGTTCCCTCCCTTCCTCCCTCCACCTCACACTCTCAAGTTTTCAGCAGCATAACACTCAACAAACATCTCCTTTAAAACAGAAAGAAATATTTCCTCCGCAATCGTTCCCCACCAGCCAATTAACCACTTCATTGTGCTTTTCTTCTAAATAACTCTCCAGAACCAAGTGGTGATCCAGCTGCCAGCAGATGAGCTTCACCTATAACGAAACGCATGCCTGTGGTTTGGGGTTTTGTGCAGACTCTGCGTTCTGAGAACATTATTCCATCTTTTTTTTTTTTTTTTTTCCTTTCTGTAAACCGTTTTAGCTCAGAGTGCCGTCTTTCTGTCTGGGACCGTTCCTTCCTCCCCGGCCTGCCAAGACGGTCAGATTCAAGGTCTTTGTAACTAAGTGCAACAATTACATGAACCGTCCACATGAAAAAGTCAAACAGTGACTCGGATGCTTTTGTTTTCCATTCCAGTGTCTGTGATTGTGACCGACGGGTTCATATCGAAGTTCGCCGGTTTGTGCTTCTCATCTTCTGTTCTCGACTGAAGTCAACGGCGATCGGCTGAAGATGAGAGTCCAGTCAAAACTCACCGCCCTCGGGCATCATCTGCCAAAATAAAAAAGCTTAAGATTAGATTGAGGACGTTATGAGGTGAAATGCAGAGTCCAGTCAAATCACCTGTGACTTTCATATGGTTTTCTAGGATATTTCTCAGTTCTGAAGCTCCAAATTTTACCACAAACCTCACTTATTGAGAATTTAACAGACAGACCAACTCAAAACAGTGAAAAGACGTGATGTGAAAATAAAAATACATTATTATTATTATTAATCCGTTTTGTGTCGATTACATCTGAAAGTCCACCGGTCTTGCGCATCTACAGAGTGAAATCTATTCTGCTTTCTAAAAACAGCTCAGATTGAACGGAGAGCATCCAAATAATAATTTTCAAGTCTTGTCAGTTTTTCAATTTGTATTCAAGTCTGGACTTTGACTGGACCATTCTAACACGTAAACGTGCTTTGATCCAACCCAGTTGCTCCAGCTCTAGTCCTCAGGTGTCGGCCATGCTCCTTCTTCTTCATGACGCTCTTTATTCTCCGAAATGCGTCTGACACCTTCATAGTACAGCTTTGTACTGATCAGGCGACTCTTGAAGGCAAATAATTTTATTTTGGGGTATCAGTGGATAATACAATTGTATGATCCACTTTAATTTCTGAAAAAAAAAAAAATCAGATAAAGACCTGATCAAATATATCGAAGTTTGTGGTTTGAAGGTGAACAAGTTGAAGGAAGCGTGAAAAGTTTTGCTACGAGCGTCACATATATAGATGCAACTCACTTGCCTGTATTAAAACAAAAAATGCTTTTTTACCTGAAGATATTTGCAACAGCTGTGATATAAAGAGGAGAGGAGAAGCGTTTGAGTGTGAGGAGGAAACTGTGTGCACTCTCTGAAATCAGAGATGTGTACAATGATCATTTATCATTGTACACATCCCGCTTTTTTTTTTTTATGGGCTCCGGGGTTTTAATGAACGTCTCTAGACAATAGATTCTCACTTTTTACGTCGATCGATACCGACCGATTCACTGACGATTGAAACAGATCTGCTGCCTGCAGAGAGGCCAATGAAGATGATTTGTTTAAACGGTAAGCAGTCAGTCACTGCTGAGCTTTTCCTTTGGAGGGTTTGGTTTGCCTAGTCATCCAGCCATCGTTAAGCTGATCTTTGTTTAGTGATGTGTTATTTTTTGTTGCATTAAGTCGATGCGCCTAAAGCATAAAAACAATCAGTGCCTTGAAGACGTATTCTGGCACCTTAAAGCACAAACCTCAGTGTATTTGATTGGGATTTTATGCGATGGAACAACCTATAATTATGAAGATAAAGGAAAACGTTCCCAAATCACCAACCAATTGTCTTCATAAGGCAAGTAATTAGCGCAGCGTCCACCAGTGTGTAATTTCATCTCAGTATAAAAGCAGCTGTTTTACGAAGGCCTGAGAGGCTTTTTTATAGAGCGTTAATGACCAAACAACATGAAGAAAAAAAAGAGCACAGCAGACGGGTCAGGGAGAAACGTAGCAGAGCAGGGAAATTTAAAGGAGAGTTGGTTCATCAGCTTAAACTTTTAACTTAAACTTCTAACTTTGAACGTCTAAAAATGAAAAGGGTAAAGGACAACTTAATCTGACTGGCAGGGAGATTACAAAAATAAATTCACTTGGTGGAAACATGCCTATTTTGAAAAAAATGAAAAAAAAGAAAGAAACCAAAACAAGGTTTTCGATAAATGTCTGTGCTAGGATGAGGGGGATTTTTGGCCGTATCAAAATAGATTTATTTGCAAAACTGCAATGGAAACACTTTTTCGTATCACATGAGTCTCATGACCAACAGCTGGATGTTACTACCGACAGTAAGTGGTAGGAAGATGATTAATTTTTGTTTTGTTTTTTTCACCCACAGATCTCTCACAGCATCGTACAGTTAATAAAAAGCTGTGTGTCATTTGAACGTGTTGAATCCATAGCCTTATGTAAATTCACCGACTACAACTTTCCCAAAACGCCGCATTTGTAGCCGCTACCGAAGGGTTTGTTGCGTCAACGCCCGAGTCAGATGCCAACGTCTCCTCTGAACGCTGATGGATGATGAGCACTAGTGTCACTGCTAAATTATGAATATTTTTCATGTAACTGTTTACTTCTGCCATAATTTAATGACTTGTGACGCGTGGTTTTAATTCAATTTCTCATTTAATGGAAAACCACATTTGTGAAATTGTTTTTTTCTTGACAAAAACACAAAGATTTGGGCACTTTTGTAATGGAAATGAATCTACTTTTAGTCTCTAGACATGTTTGAGTTTTGTCAAATTTTCCGCTATACTTCACTTCGTCTGTGGTTGTGACGATGTTATGTGAAAAATTCAAGGTGTATAAATACTTTTGCAAGACGTCGTATGCAGGTTAAGTGGACAGAAACCCGGTGGCGCTGTGAGCCTCTGCAGTCCGTGGTGAACTACTCTGCTCTGCGGTGCAGTGGAGGCTTCGCGCCCGTCGCCATGCATCACTATAATTGGCCCCGTTGTTTCAAAGTAATGAGACCAATGATGAGTGAGTTTATTAGCAACCACATCCTCCCCGTTTATGCTGGATCTGTTGAAACTCTGTATCGCAGTCTAAAACACACACTCGGAAGGACACACTCCTCACAGTGCAGTTAAACCACCTAAAAAATATATAAAAACACACTTTACATTTTCTTTTGCAGAAAGAAGACAGAGAATGTTTTCAGTGTGGCAGCCAAATGTGACACTCGGCCTCATTAACAAAGCACAGCGGTCATAGAAACATTGCATCATGCTGGTGCCAGACAGAGAAAACTTGCAGCTGGAATACTCAAAGAGAAGCTCCAGCAGTTCAGCAAAGGAGTACGGCTCAATAGTACGTTTTAACGGGTGTGTCAGCAGGAAGAACTGGATCAGAAGTGACTGACATCAATTTCCAGAAACAATGAATAAATATTCAAACGGCACTGCCATCACAGATGCCATGTTAAATCTGTGATACATGTATGTAGATTGGATGCTCATGTATAAATTAAATAAAAAGGAAGTCTCACTTTTGAACATTTGACTTAAAATGTCTAGTTAAAAAAAAAAGTAAATTGAAAACCACACCTTTGTCTTGTTATGGATCCATAATCTTCTAATATCTGAGTGCTGGCCTGCTCCAGGTTCCAGTCACACATCTCCAGCAGCTTTATACACTCGGACCTGTTCCTCAGACCCAAGCAGAACAATTGCTCCACCTGCAGAAAGACACATCACACATCAAGCCATTTTTAGGCAAAAAACAAAAAAACAAAAACAGTCTCTCTTTTTCACAGATTTATCGTAAGCAAACGCATCAGAATAAATCGGAGCACTCGATTTCTCCTTAGTAAAAGTGGCCACAATAATACTAAGCTAGGAAACTTTCTATAAACAAACAGCTTTCAAGTGTTTCAGGAACTCATGATCAGTCATGGAACCTTTTTTTTTTTAAATAAAACAAAATCTTAGAAAGGTGGACTGTGGGCACCAACATTAGCGTTGGTGAAGTCTGTGCTGTTGCACCATGTTAGCATTGAGATGCTATTTTAAGTTTGAATTGCTTCGCTGATAAGCTAACTCTACACAATGATACATTTTTTCCAGCGTCCCATCAGATAATATTCTGAAGCAAAAATGAACCCCCAGCGGGCCTAGAGAAGCAGCTTTGTCATCCATTACTGCTTGTACGTGTCGTTTGTGTGGCAGGTTTACGGGCGTACCAGAAACACGCAAATACAAAGGTTCCACTCAGAACTATTATATGTAAAATAATACATAAAAGAATTGTGATTACTTGCGCTAAAAGGTGTAACCCATTAAAATCTAAGTAATTAGTCAAAATTATCGCATTAAAGTCCCCCACACGGTAAAAATATATGCAATGTTTTTTCCTCTTCACCGTCTCACATTTAGTCATACTAAACTCTGAAGTGGACTGAAAGCCTAATCAAAGAGGAAGAAGTCAATCAGTAGAAAATTGGTTTTACTGATAACTACATTTTCATACCATCTTCATTAGATTGTTTGCTTTTGTTCCAAGGTTGATGCACACAATTTGCATTAAAACACATTTATCTCTGGGGAAATGATGCCATCTCCTCCTCAACCGTGTGATGGCTGAACATTCCCAGACTAATTCCCAGACTACAAAAATTCAGTTTATTTACAATTTATCTTATGATAAATTGTAAATAAACTGAATTTTTGTAGAGCATTTTTAGCCATACAGACTACAAAAAGCTATTTGCACTGACACACAGTAATACACTGAGCAATGTATATATTAATTGTTGCATTCTAATTGTCTGAAAGAACAAACATAACACCTTCAGACGTTTGGAAATTGAACACAAAGATAAACAGACCCGTCCTCTTCATTATATGTTGTGATAATGAATTTTTTCATGATTTTACAAAAGAAAAGCAGTGTGTTTTAGGTTTTGTCTTAAAATACATCCACTTTACTTAATTTTGCAAGTGATTATTTTGGTAATCTTAACTGACTAAAATGTTTTAAAAATCTTTTGTCCTTATCTGACAGTAAGGAAAAAAGTATTTATAGTTGATGTAATTATCTTTTTTTTAATTCTGGTTGTTTGTGGGGACAGTGTCCTGATTTTTCTCCAAGGACCAACAAAGCTGACATTATACATGAACATATAATACACAAATTAAATTTTTTATTAGATAAGGTTATTACAAAAAAATCCACTCAAGTCCTGAACCAAATTACACTGACCCGTCGACCACAATGGGAAAATGTTCCAATATCGTCAATAGTCACTGGAAAACTACAGCAAACGATTCAGCAGCATGTAAAACCGAGCTTAGTCCCTGCAATAAACTGAAGTCATAATTTCCTGCAAGTATGATCAATCTCTCACAACCCTGTGGAGGAAAATTGCCCTCTTCTAAATAACATCACTTCAGTTCATTAAGGTGTGCACATTTATTTATGCAGAGGTCTGTTATAGTCCCACCATGACTTTTCCATCAGGAGGGTCTCTGTACACAGTTTGCCTCTTATCCTGCATTTCAATTAGAGGAAGCAAAATATGAATGCTAATGCACACACACTGGTTTGTATTTTTAAACTTGTAACTCTTCATTTGCTTCCATTCATCCATCCATAACTATTTGGGCCTAACCTCAAGTTAATCCACACCAACTCTAACCCAGGGGTGGGCAATCCTGGTCCTCGAGGGCTGGTGTCCCGCAACTTTTAGATGTCTCCCTGGTCCAACACTTGAAAGCTGAATCACCTCCTAAATGCAATCAAGTTCTCCAGAGTCCTGCTAACAACCTCATTATTTGACTCAGGTGTGTTGAAGTAAAGACGCATCTAAAAGTTGCAGGAGACCGGCCCTTGAGGCCTGGAGTTGCCCACCCCTGCTCTAACCTGAATCCTAAAAATGAGGTTCACTACATTAGGGCCCCATTATGTCCCCATAAACCCTTTCGATGTTGAGATCAGTGGGTTTATGGGGACAAATTGGGGTCCTAACCAAACAGGGTCCCCGTAAACCCAATTGATCCCCATGAACCCTATCAAAGTTTACATACAGACACACACACACACGCGCGCATGCATGCACGCATGCACACACCACCGTTACTTTTTACCGTCATTGTGTTTTCTGTGAAACGACCTATTGTGAAGCAAACACTTCCTCTAGAAACGGAGTCTTGGCTGAGACCTATTAAATCTTTCATTGACAGTATTTGTGTGAAAATGACTGCCAGCTGTTCTTCAACATTCTTAGGGTGAAGATTGTCCTTGTTTCTTCTCCTGAGAACCGACAGTAACACATCATCACACTGATGTTGATGCTCATATCTTTTCCCAGAGGAAGATAGCTCTTCTAAGAAAGTTTTGGATTCTTTTAACTTTATTTTATTTCGAGGGTTTTCCTTAGCACGCCATCAAAATCTGCCATTGTTGCTGTGGTATTGTTCTCTGAGCAGATGGTCCTTAAGGCTCCTATTTCTGATGGTGATACACACTAACAATTTGTTGTCTCACACACACAAACACAAGCCTTGAACCAATTATAACACAGGACATGTTTGGACCTGCCTTTCTCATTACAAACATGACGAAAGTTGGAAATATTGCCCTGGGAAAGCAGGGATCGATAAATGATTAAGAGGGCAACAGCAGCAAGAAAAACAGAAACCCAAAGAGGGGAAAAGTAAAAAGGCTAATGAGTTCAACACCATTTTATCAATAGGTGAAAGCAAAAGAAAACCTAAACCTACTTTGAACTTTTTATCAGTTAATCAACTGGATTGTTATTTTGAATACTAACATTTCACAATCTTTTTGACACAAGATTCACTAGTGGAAAATAATTATGATAACTCAATGGAGATCCACTGAGAAAGTAGATGCTAACTAGAATCAGATCTTGAGTTTGATCTGCAGCAGCCGGAAAGTCCAAATTCAACATATGTTCACTGCTATCAGGTCACACTAGAAACACTCTTCAGGGTGGATGTCATTACTGTATGAAGAATACATACAGTGCTGCAGCTAAGAATTGCTTTATTAATCACTTAATCTGAAGATTAATTGGATAAAAAAAAAAATCAGCCATCTCTCCAGATATTTCATGTTACCACTTAAGCTTTTGTGATAAAATATTAGAAATATATTAAAACATCTGGATAAACAATTCAGTTCGTTTCTTTTTAAATAGATTTTTATACTCACTAAAATGAAGTGACAAAACATTTCCTTTGTGTATGCTTCAGTTGTATGAAGGATGGATCTGCAGCTAAAACAAATATTTCCATCCAGTCAATCAATACAGTGTTGGGCTAATCTTCTGACTAATTTTTGGACTACCCAATTAGTTAAAAAAATAGCTGGTTCAAAAAGAATTTAAACCAGGGAAAACCAAACTATGTGACTTCAGGAGAACTGAGCTAAACATATTTCCAATTATCTAGTATGTCTTTGGCTCATTAATGGTGCAAAGAGCCAGAGAGAGCAAGACTTCAGCAGACAACAAAAAGGATGAACATATTTCAGAAAAGCTTGCTTCATCTTGTTGAGATTTCAATATCAACCTCTGATCTTAAACAAGCTTAAACAAGTATTATAGAAACCTGAGTGAAGGCTGGGATCTACAACGCAAAGTTTTTACAATGCAGGGTGCTAACTGCACTACTAGCTAAAGACAGAAAATGTCACTTCCATAATCATTTCTAAGTTTTACATCAGAGTGAGCCATTATATTGTGATTAATGCAAGTCCATCACTAAACAGTTACCGAGAGCAGCACAGATGCAGGATTGTTCCATGCAGTGAATCATATGCTCTCACCTTTAGGTAATGCACAGCCTTCTGGACATCCCAGCTGTTGTTCTGGAGGGCGGCTTGACACTCTGCTATAGTCACACCGTGAACAGCCTCCTGCACCTGAAATTGCACGACAGCAGCTTGACAAAAGTGAAATCTCCATCTACAACACACACCAATTCCAAACTGCTTTTCTTAAATATCTCAGAGAAAGATTTTTTTTATATAAACACCATAATCACATCTCCTGGTGATGAAATCATCTGTATTGACTTCAATCAATATTTTAAACAAATGTTAAACCCAACAACTGACTTGCTTTTCGCTTCCCCCTCTGATGTGAGATTTGAGTGTTTCCATTGATCAGGGAGAAGTCCCACACCTCCCACTAAACTAACCCACATCAGTCTGAAGTCTCGTAATCATTTCAGCTCAATCAAACTAAACCAAACTTCAAAGAAATAACACTGACGGTGCTGTGTTATGGGGAGCAGAAAGCTTGCAGCAATTCCACACACGATTACCACCAAAAACAAAAAAATATCAATTGGTTAACTATCTAGTGCATGTCAGTGTCTCCCATTGATCTGCTGTGCGTTTTATACAAGGTGCTAAAATCTCATTGCACTGCTGTTGTGATTGGCCAAACATCTCTGTATCTGCCAGATCAATGGAAAGCTTTCAGCGTTTCCAACTGCCTCCAGAATAAAGAAAATCAATTCATGGCTATTCATTTATCAGGACCAACTAAGAGGACACATCAATGCGGCTCTTTGTACACAAAATACTAAAAAAAATAAAGACATGCAAGTCTGGGACGATTACTGATATGAAAGCATATCAAAGTTTTAAATGGTTATAGATTTAAAATACCCTAACGAACCCTCCCATCACACTCATTAAGAAAACAGTCTGAAAACTGCAGTTTGTCTGTTAAGCAGCTAACTGTGGGCTTTATCGGAGTAGATAGCCTGACTAATTACCCAGCTACTTTGAGTTTATTTTACTCTTAGTTTTTTTTTTACACGCCATGACTTTCTCTCTATGAGATCCATTTTTTTAATAAGCAAAGGATAAAATCCAGCAGCCCTCTTTATCTAGCTGACCAACAGTGAACGGTTGAGAAAGAGAGCGTTGTGCTAAACTGTACTTCAGTCGCTTTGGGACTTTGTTTCATGTCTCGCTTTGAAATTATTAAAACATTGAGATGCGACTTTTTATAAAAACTTTTCCTTTGGAGATCCATAATTTTACCTTGATAACATTCTCCTACTGCCAGGCATTTATGATTTCAATACTTATAAGTAGATATCAAATTTCACAATGAATCCATGTTGCTCACAGCATTAGTTTAATTTAGGGGGGTACCAATTAATTGATTCCTGACATAATCAACTAATTCCTTAATTAATTAATCATTAACTGGAGGGTACATACTTCACAATGGGCCAATTGTTGAAAAAAATATTTTCAGAGCAGTAATTAGGCTAAACTGTACAAAAAATACATACATTGTACATTTAGATAAAAAAAAAACTTTTGTCTGTAAATATGCTCTATACAGAACTCCTCATGAGGCAGAGATTAGCTTTACCTGGTTCAAATTCTGTAAAGAATTTTCTTAAGGACCTTTTGCAGCTGTCCTTTATCTTTTATTACAAAGGAATCCTATATTATTGCACTTTGAATTGAAATATTTGTATTTTATAAAATAAGCTGTTTAAATTAAAAAATCTGCTGAATTTGATCATTTCTTTATCTGATTAATCAATGAATCATCAGAATAATCGGTAGAATATTTGATTACTAAACTAATTGTCCATTGCAGCCCTACTTCCATTAATCAATGTTTGATTATTTTTTATAGCAGTAGGAATAATTACAGTTTTTATACATTAAATAAAGCAGCTATATCACACCATATATTTTTGTGTCAATGTCATGATATTTTAATCTCAATCATTATTTGGTTCTTAATCATTTGAACATGAACTTATAACAAAAGACGCAAATTAACAGTTACACAACTGGAAAGTAAAACTTCTCATTTTTAACTTAAAATGCAAACTGTCCATAGTTTCTCTTTTCATAGCATATTATAATATCCTAATAATTAAAATCTGCTATACATTATATCCATATTATGTCTAACAAAGGCAGGACAAACAAACCCTCTAATAAATATGCGATGTTCATCACTTTTAATTAGTGCCTCTAAAACTGACCATATATCTTCTCTAGTGTGGCATCAGAGGCCAGTGTTCAGAGCTATTGATGAGAGAAACGAGAACAGATGGTTATCTGGTTGAGGTCAGCACCTTAGCCTGGCTTTACAACAATTAATCACAGGGAACATTAATCTGGACATAAGGTCTGCTATAAAAAGCACAAAAACTCTCCCAGTGCAGCAGCTTCTCATCAATCACAGAGAAGCTCTGAAAGAAAAAAGCCTAATGAAATATTATATTAGCATCATGTGCTGGTTAAAGACAAGACGGTAAAACGGGGATCTTATAATCCGAGCATACCATTTGGACTCTGTCCAGAGAGTTCCCTCCGTCTTCCGTCCGGCTGCAGGAAGAATTCACTGTCGGACCTGTCAGCCCGTCTGAACACACGCGAGGGAGACTAACTGATGTCTTCATCCCTGACCGCTGTGCGCTCATGCCAAAGTTGTTATTGCAGGAGAAGTTAGCCTTCAGCTCTCCCGGCTGGATGAGTCCCTGAACTGTCTGGGCGGTGACCACCATGGGTCTCACAGTGGCCGTGTTGGCGTGCCGTGTGTGCCTGTCCTCAGCACTGCCGCCGCCCGGGAGGTTCTCAGCCTCTCTGAAGAAACGTTCGAAGCGGTCGAGGTACGGCGGCCTCTCTGGCAGGAGGTAATAGTGCGTGTTGCTGACTTTCTGCCCATCTCGGACGATGGGCAGGATGCAGGGACCTCTGTTGGCGTTGTCCCTATCCTGGGCTTGGATCACTTTGGGGGCGGCGTATTTGGGGTCCGAAGCAAAGCTGTGTGTGGTCGGCATGGGTTTGCCGGGAGAGGTGGAGAGGTAGGAGCTATAGGCGTGTGAGGCCTGGTGGGTGGAGGGGCTGACGGAGCAGATCCTCTGGTGCAGGGAGCCCACCACTGCACAGTTGGGGCTTGGCGTCCGGGAGTTGGGCTGGGACAGAGGGTCTCTGGGCGGGATCTGAGGCGGTCGTTCCAGGGTTGTGCCCGAAATGCCGTATGTGGGGTCCGACAGCATCGGGGAAACAGAAAGGTCCCTCGACCAGCGAGCAGACGTGTAGTCTCCCCGTTTTATTGGGCGAGGGGGGATTGGAACACGTGGGGGGATCTGAGGTTTGTCCTCATTGGTGGAGAGACGCTGCTGATCCTCCTGGGTGTTCTGAGTAGGACAAGAGGCTGAGATTTGGGTCCACTGACCGACCCCGCCTGTCGGGACGTTGAGCTTCCTCATGCACTCCTGCTGAAGTTCCTGGAAAATCTCTGCGGATTGGGAGAAGGACGGGGAGGCAGCATGGTTGTGCTTGCCTGGAAGGAAAAGGTTGTCCTCCAGAACCGGTCTTTCTGGATCCTTTGAGACGACACCGTCGCTTTCGGTCATCTGTCCTGAGGAGAGAGCTCCGTCTACGCCGTGGACAGCAGCCTGATCGTGTTCCAGCTGCTGCTCTGAGCTGGTGATGGAGCTCACCTTTGAGAAGAAAGGAGGTCGGAAGTTACCAACCAGAATTTTCAATCAAATCAAAGTTTCATTTGATAAAGTTTGGAATATATAGATCATCACGTCTTCCTGGATTTGACTATTTTGTTTTGCTATTTTTCATAGCACTGCAGTGCCATGGTTATGGGTTAAACTGTGGCTTATATGTGAGGATGAACTCCTTGTATGGCTTCAACTAATGATCATTTTAATATTCAATTATTCTATTGATTATTCTGATTAATTGATTGATTCCATTTTAAAAAATGGCATTTTTTTAAAGATTTTTTATTAAGCCTCTTAAGCCTTTCGTATATAACGTTGCAAATACTATTTATAAATTATAAAAAGATGCAAACAAACAAGTAATCCGATTACTTTTTCAAATAAAGAAATGAAGTGTCTATTGCCTAAAATGCGTAAAACCGTAGTGCTCCTCTAGTGACTCTGAACCGGGTGAAGTTAAACTATGGTAATTGAGGTGATTTGACTACAACATATTTTACATTAAAAAATTTTAATCATAAATGCAAATATATAGAGAGAGACATTCTGTATAGCTTTGGTTTCATTACTGCTCTGAGTATGTTATTTAACCAAATAGTCTTTTTTCAGTCAATATACTCCAGTTAATTATAAATTGATTACTAAATTAGTTGACAAATAAATTGATTAATTATAATTAATCTGATTAATCGTTCCTACTCCTTGCAACTAAAATTTTACTCAGTTTAGCTTCAGAATCTTTATCAAACTTTGTTAAAACTGCAATTTTTAACGATTGCAAGATCCTGTCCACTCAACGCCAAATTATCTCTCTGATTCTGGTGCCTCTTCTGATTACAAAGCGGAGTGAAATCCTTTGGTGAAATCCTGCAGTGAAAATCCATACTTCATTAGCCAGCTATATTTTTCTAGTACATTTATTAGTGGAGAAACACACCAGTGGAGAACACCTTTAAAAGGTTTACACAAACTTTCCTTGTTTCTTGGATTCACTGAAGCTACTCCGGTTCAACTTGCCTCCATGTCGTCTTCATCTTGGGCTACGTCATCGTAGGCCGGCGGCGGCGGTAACGGCCGGGCGTCCCAGTCTACCACCGGCGTGGGGTGCAGGGGCCGTGGCAGCCACTTGGACGGACTTTGAGGCGGGGTTTTGTCCAGGATGTTGCCCACTTGCAGCGCTAGCTTTGCCAGCACTGGATTTTGGTTTTCCACCACGGGGGAAGGAGAGAAATCCTCCCCGAAGTCAATGAGGGACACGTCGCTGCTCGGGGTGTGGGCTGAACTTGAGGTCCGGCTACTCTGCTTGTTGGCAGAGACCCATGCAGCGGGTTTAAGCTTCAGACCTTTGAGCGAACCGGTTTTCCTAAGAGATAATCTCCTGAGTACTGCAGAGGTGGAATCCTCGTCTTCAGTTACTGGATCGTAGCATGGTTCTGGAGATGAAAACAGATTCCACTCATTAACGGACGATGTTTCAGTATAAGTAACCGTGACAACCACTTAGAGATCATCTGACACCAAAAACAAACAAAAAAATGATATAAACAGAAAAACGTTCCGGTTAAAGCACAAAAAGAATGATGGATACAGATAGAGAGATGAAGAATGATTTTAAGGAAGACAAACTGTTAGGGGGACAGGACCACTGCAAACACAGCAAAGGAGAGAAGAAAAAAAAGTGTGAAATGTACCTTTGAGGAGTGGAGCAAAGAGGGAACAGAGAAGACGGGAACAGTGGCTAAGAAGCTGCTGAGAGAAACCAGACTTACTCTTGATTAACACGGCTGGCTGAGGAGGCCGGGGGGGAGGCTCCTCTGCAAAAATAAATAAAAACAGAGCCGCAAAGAGAAAACAGAGGGAGGAAAAGTAGCAGCAGCAGAGACAGAAATAAAAAACGCAAATGTCAGAAAGCATACTGAGGATTCTTTCTAAATTTTTGGTCAGAAGAAAGCAAGCAAAAAATATTTGGAGTACCAAAACATCAATTTAATCCTACAAAATATTGTTTTAAAGTGAAATCTGATCACTATTGGAACTTACCATAATCCTAATTTTATTATGGGGGTTTTATGTGATAGGCCATCAAAAAATAGGACATAATTGTTAAGTGGAGGGAAAATGATACATGCTTTTTTTAAATTTTTATTTTTTTTAAAAAGAGAAAAATGGGCCTTGCTGTTGTGTTTAGAGCCCCATTCTGCAGCCAGCAGCTTTCAAAAGTTCCCAATGTAGAGACAAGAATTCACCAGTGTAATTTAATCAAACTACAAATCCAATTGTTCCGTTTAAAAACAAGGTTCAGCCAGAAAACAGAATAAAACAAGTATAAAACAATATGCCCACTACAATTTTCATATTTGATTCTAAAACATTTCCTTTCACCTCATAATTCTGATGTCATTTGTGTGACTCAATCACATAAAAAAAAACCCCAAAGAAAATACAGAGGTTTGTGGTCGTGATCAGATGTGAAAAAAGATACCTTTGCAAAGTTGTGTTTGTGGTAGAATATATTAACACTTTTTATGATTGGTTAAACCTCTCTTTGTGTGACTTTAACCCACTTTTGGTTCGTCCCGGCAGCTGTGTGGGCCGAGCGGCGCTGAGGTCCACTTCCAGAACATCAGGAGGATCCATGGGGTTCCCCAGGTACAGGCTGAAAGAAAGACAAGGACAGACTAACCATCACTGTCAACATGCTGACTTTATTCCAATCAGCAGCAGCAATTATTATATTATAATGTAGGAGTGCCCTCTGCTGGATAGAAGTCAGATTTTTATTCCCAACATCTCACAGAATGAGACATTTTTAAGAAGTTTTACATTCAAAAAGTAACTTATTTCAGCTGAAAGCTGCTTCTTACTCGTCGATCCTGTCCGGGAAGCCCCAGCAGCGGTGCGGGTTGGTGTCTCCATGACCCGTGTGGATGAAGCTGTTCTTAAGAGGCCTGCTGATGTCGTGCGCCGACAGCCCCGCGACAGACGTCACCACGTTCCTGGGGAACTGCCCCACCTTCAGGGTGCGCTTGTTTTGCCCTCGCCACCAGTAATTCTCCGCCCTGAAATGTGCGAGTGAGTCAGTGAACCGCGACCAAACGCTCCCCATCCCCCGCAGTCCGAGTCACCGTCACCCACCTCCCCTCTATAATGGTGATGACGTCATTGACTTTGATGTGAAGTTTGTCGAGCTCATCGAAGTCCTGCAGAGCGCACATGTCGGTAGGCATGGTCTGAAAGAGAGACGCACACAAAAAGGCACTTAAAGGGGCAGTGTTGTGTGTTTTTCCAGGCACATAGTTTCATTTTATAGCACAATAAAGTAACTTTATGTTTAGCTGTTATAAAAAAAATTTAACATCTTTGAAATTGAGACTCTGTTGCTTTAAAAACTCCTGCTCTTTCTGAAACTTCACCTTCAGGAAGTCTTCACAACATGGCTCCTCTATTAACCCTTTAACAACATTTTACACCAGCATTTCACTGAGAAGTAGCTTGTATAATAAGGTCAGCAGATGGACAGTTCCACCAGGTGTTTGCCAATTACTGATGGCTAGTCTGAAGGAGCTGAATGGGGGAGGGCTGCTCTGTGAGTCAGAAGCTAAGAAGTCTGGAAGCTGTAGCCAAGTGGAGGAGCTTCATCCACCCAGGTGTTTGGCACAGCTGAATGAGGTTGGAGATTAAAGGATTTCTTAAACATGCATCACACAATCAAGGCAACACTCTAGAGCGTTTATATCTCACACTTGATATTATATATATACATGTATAAAATATTCCAGGAAGTGACAGAAATGACAAAACAAAATGGTAGGATTTGAGAAAAAACATATGATACACCAGATTTTTGAAGCCTAGCAATATGTACTTAAGCAAACAAATGTGCTTAGTTTGTGTATTTCAGGTGACATTTCCACATTTCTTGAGCTACTGTATGACGTAATCCTTCACCGCAATCCCTTCGTACTCTTGAAAAGCTTTCTATGACCACTAGGTGGAGCTCATGGTTCACTTGAACCAGTGGGAAGTGGTCAGGCCTCCACGCTCCAAAGGTGATGAGATTAGCATCCGGTGTACACTTAAATATGTGAGTGTGACGTCTTACCTCCAGCAGGAACTCCCTCAGGGCGACAAAAGTGGGTCGATCCCCTGGTTTCTGAGCCCAACACTGCAGCATGACATTATAGATGTCCTGGGGACAGTCCTCCGGCTTTGGAAGCCTTTCACCTTCTTTATCGATCTTGTGGAGAATCTTAATTTTTAAATTCACACACACAAAAAACGCAAGATGACAGTAAACATGAGTCCTTTTTCTCAGATGTTGTGAGGTGAGTAGTTTCAGCTCCTACCTGGCTGCCGTTCAGGCCCAGCCAAGGCTCCTGGCCGTGCGTGAACATCTCCCAGAGAGTGACGCCAAACATCCAGGTGTCCGTAGCGTGGGAGAACGTTCTCGTCTTCAGGCTCTCAGGAGCACACCTGCAACAGGACAGGCAGGAAACTGAAGCTGTTCACCACTGTGTACTCAGTACCAGCCACACTTACTGACCCTCTGGTAAAGACGTTTGAAACAAAGTCTTAAAAAGTATTTCAATTTGATTGCAGTAACATCATCCCATGGTTAACAGAAAACTAAAAGTAAAATATTACATGAGAGCAAAATAATAATAATAAAGCCATCACCCTTACGGTTTTGGTTATCCGTGTTGCACCTTTTCATACCATGGTTTTCTCCTCCACTCACCTTTTTATGAGCGTTTTATAACTTCTTTTTTTTTATAATATTCAAATTTTTCTGTGATAATTTTTGGGTTTTCATTGTTTCTAAGTCATATTCATCAAAATTACAAGAAATAGAAGCTTGAAATATTTTACTTTATGTGTACTAAATCTGTATATAAAAGTTTCACTTTCTGAAATTAATCAAATATTTCATTTCTTCACAAGGTTTACATCTTGCTGCTGCCCTATATGTAATCCCAGTTTCTGTGGACAATTCTCAACAAGTAATTTTTGCGATTTCTATAAATTATATAAATTATATAAAACTGAATGTTTCCCAATCTACAATGTATTAGTTTAAATCCTTCACCCACCAAGCAAAGGGAACCTTGCGATGCTCCTGCATCACATAGTGCTCATCGTTGTTAGGCAGCGCCCTCATCAGGCCAAAGTCCCCGATCTTCACTCTGTTAGCTGAGGAGAGCAGGATATTCCTGAACAAAGAAGAGGGTGCAGTTAGAAGTGATTAGTGTTTCTAACTTTCCTTTACATGGGTAGCGTCCCTGTCTTTGCCTTACCTCGCTGCCAGGTCCCTGTGGATGAACCGTCTCTGCTCCAGGTAAGCCATGCCGCTCGCTACCTGAACGGCGTACTGACACAGAGTGTGGATCAGCACCGGGCCCTGAGGATGAACGCATCGCAGACGATCCAGCAGAGAACCCAGAGGAGCCAGCTCAGTCACCTGATGGGAAGGACAGCAAAGAGTACTGAAGACCAACTCTGAGATGCAAATTACAAATAAGTATTTTAATTTTTGTCATAGGCACGTTGCAGCGTGACGTCACATGCATAAGATTGTCAGCGAGCAAAAAACAGTTCACATAATATGATTACCAGGGGTTTTAGCTGTCAACATAATGAGCTAAATCTTAAATGTACGCCTGACATATGAAGAGATTTAGTGCTTTGCTGCTTATTGTTAATACTATAAAATGTGATTCCGTTTTACATAGTTAGATAGTTGCCACAGGTCAGTGAAAAGCTTTAATAAAAAAATACCAAAGGAGAGGGAAGTAGGTCAGCTATGCTAGCTTGACTTTGACAACCTTAACATGTAGATGTGCTGCAGAATCCGATGTGTCCTAGTTCAATCCACACATTAAGTCTGACAGATCATCAACAGAGCAGGTGTTTAAATTAGCTAATCAACCACCGATCACTTATTAATAATCGCCAAATAAAACATCAAGATTGAAAACATAAAACTGGTAACAGACTGAATGTTCTGTACTTTGTGTGGGAAATGCTTGCGTGTTTTTTGGTGTCGTGGAGGTGTTGTCTGTTCGTTGCTATGGCAACAGGTCTTTGTGTAGCCTAGATGACAAAAGATGGGGGGGAAAAAAGGAATACGAGTGTTTTTGAGTTGCTCAGTTTTTTTTTCTGTTATTTTCCCTTTGCTGTGGCACACTGCACTAAATTAATAACACCTACATCTGCAGGTTTGATTTTGTTAATGGGATTGTTCGACCGCAGCGGCGCGGCGCGGCTACGGATGGAAAGTAAAAGAATTGTCTTTTTGCCCTCCAGGTATGTGCAAAATTTCCAGATGTAAAACAATAACATGCAACGTATCTATGAAGAACTGTTGCGTGTTTGAGTCTGCGCCCCCACCATCTTCATGGGATGTGTGAGCACCACGCCGTAGAGACGGATGAGGTTCTGATGGTCCAGGGAGTGCATGGCGTTGACCTCGCAGATGAAATCCTCCAGAGCATCCGGCTGACTGAGGACATCCGTCTTAAGGCACTTTACCGCCACGTTCACCTGGAGGATCAACAGATTTATGGCTGATTTTTTTCCCCCTCCACCTTGCCGTGAAAATTTCACTTCATTCCCGAGAAACGGACTAAATGAACCGAAACGTCTTCTCACCACGTTCCCTCCAGGCGTCAGCCATTCCCCTCTCTTCACGACGCCAAATGAGCCGTCGCCGAGCTTCTCGAACAGCGTCAGGTCCTTCTCTGGGATGAGGCAGGTGAGGGCCAGCTGCTGGCCGTCCAGTGGGCTGCTGCCGCTGCCGCCATGTAGCTGAGTGTCCAGCACGCCGTCGCCCAGACAGAGGGGAGGCGTGAGGGACAGTTTGCGGAACGAAGAGGCCAGCTGTCCCTGCTGGGGGAATTCGCCCTCTATCCGCTTCCCGCTGAACACCTGGAACGAAAAACAAATATTTTCTCTTCTACAAAAGCTACAACTTCAAAGTAAAAACACAGATTAAATCACCAAAATCAACAGCGATAACACTAACCCTTATGGTGACCCCCAAAAATATTCATAACACTTTTTCACATTTTGTCACAAAATTAAATTGAAGTTTTCTGTAACTGACCATTAAAACTGGACCACCACACTTTGTAAAACTTCATTTTGCTACATTTACAGCTGTGAGTCTTTTGGAGTATGTTTATACCAACTTTTATAGGTTTTCCCTGTAGCTCCATACAGAATTGGGTAGTTGCGTTATTCATGTAGCTTTTTTTGGGGAAAAAATACTTTTAGGAGTATTTTTACTACATTGAGCTTTTTACTCCAACTTGTGCAACTTTCTTATGAAGTATCGCTACTCTTACTTCAGTAAAATGTGTGAACTCTCTATTCACCGTGAGAAACTTCACTGAATTAAGAACAAACACGTTTTAATCAAAAATTCACTAGACACACACCTGCAGTTTTTGTTAAAGTTTCATGAGTTTTATACTGAAAGAAACTAATTGGGAAAAATGTTGCCTGTTTTTGTCATTTCATTTTGGTCTTTAAAATACTAAAAATTTCCATATACATTTATATCACAGCAAACTCAATTAATTATTCAAAGTAGTTTAAAAAGTTTTATCCAAGAGAGTAAGTATATGTTTAAGAAGTCCTCAAATCAGACTTTTAGTGACCGATTTCCACTGTTCCATAAAGACCAGATATTTGGAGCACATGTTAGAAAATCACTGTGTTGACAAACTCTCCCACTTGAGCTGAGGATCTCTGCAGCTCCTCCAGAGACACAGCTCCTCTTCTCAGGTCTTTCAAATTTGCTGGACGACCTTTGTCTTGGTGGGTTTGCAACTGTCCGAAACTCTATTTTTCTACTGACTGGATTGAAAAAGCTCTGTGTGATTGGGTTACGGTTTCATAACCACACTTTACACATTTTTATTGGCGGAAAACACTGAAAGCCAAAGTATGATTATCCTTTCATTTAACAAATACGCCCTACATTTTGGTTCACCACATGTGAAAATGTCCAAGTGTCATGTAAACTTTTGTACCTTTCTGAGTCGCTGACATTATGTTGGTTCAAGTTATGAGCTCATAATCACAAGGATATAGAGTGGACTCTTGAATGGACCCACTGTACCAAACACGTACAACTGTCTGGATGTAACACGCAGCCGTTGGCGTTCTCAACAAAACCAGACATGACATAATGTGGCAGACCTTTTTAAAAACACCACCACCCTGTGGTCATGGTGTGGTTAGTCGGTTTCAAATGGGAGGCTGGGCATTCATAAGATTCTAGCAACACACACACACACACACGCACAGACAACACAGACACACAGACACACACACACACAGACACACACAGACACACACACGCACGCACTCAGAAAGCATGCTGAGGAAGCAGATGACTCCCTTTGGATGGTGCCAGAGGCGGAAACAGACAGGTGTAATTATAGATCCTATGACTCCACTGCCAACAAGCACTCCTATTTGTTTACCACAGTTTTCCTGGAGGACTTAAGTTAGCATGTTGACTTTTTAAGAGTCTTGTCTTTTAGGTAATCCATTTATGCAGCGTTTCCCAGAGAAAACTTGCTGAGCCCGGAGGTAGGGGGAGCTGGGTTGGTACACCATGGTTGTGTGTTAAAAAAAATGCTAAAAGTTCACCAAAAATTTAAAAATTTGACTACATAATTATATGTTATCAGAAGACATGATTAACAATACTTAAACACCAAATATAGCGTCTTAACAAAAGGCAAACACAATGAAATGCAATTGAAATAAACATTTTTTGACACCTCAGTCACATCCTAATGAAGTAATCAGCCTTAAAACAAGCTATGAAGTGCATATAATGCTCACATTCAAAAGTAAATAAATTAAAAGAAATATTACCAAAAAATGGACAATGAGTCAGCATATTAATATACTTAACTAAATATTTTCAGGGTACAAAGCTCAAGTATTTTTTATATTAAACGACACTTAGCCAGGTGTGGCGACAAGTAAAGCCTGGGGCCCCGCCAGGCTTATGATAAATATTTGCCTCAACTTTAAGAGTAAGCGCCACAGAGGCTCTCTCTTTAAGAAGGCTCATCCTTCTCTTTTGCAGCGTACCATCACAGCGCAAACTAGAGTAATGAAAAGCGTTCCTGCGTTTGGTGAATGGATTATTGACCGTCACCTTGCTCATCCAGGTTTTCCGCTTGGCCTTCCTCCTCTTCACGGCCTCCCAAAGACGTCTCTGGCCTGAATCCATGAGAAAAAGTGAAACACAGTGGTAAGTTAGTAAGCTGAAATTTTACAATTATACAGAGGATAAACTTGTAGAATAAAGCAAAAGGTAAAATCTTTAAGAGATGATTAAAGGAGTGGGCAGATGAAAGGTTTGCGAGTGCCTATAAGAGCAAAAGAAGTGGGATTTAATTAGTCTGAAGTAGCTCTGTGAAGGGAGGCCCAGAGGGACTTCAGTAAGTGGATTCAGAATACGATTGCTGTGATCTCTTACACACACACACGCACACACACACCACACAGACAAAAGCTTCAGCACTCCACCGCCTCCTCCTATTGTGTCTAATTATCAGCTGGGACGTGGAAGTAAAACTAAGGATGTTGGGTAGTGGAGGACTGGATTTAGATCTGATGACACTGAGCCATTACTAACCACAAAAGGAAATACATATGCAAAACAGAAATATTAATAAGCATGACGGAGTATTAGATCACACTAAAAAAAATTTTAAAAATTAAATTCAAGAATAAAGTCATGATGATTACAACTTTATTCTCAAAAATATTTAAACACTTTTTCTGTACAACTCTCTTGTAATACTATGACTTTATTCTTGAAATTTTATTTTTTATTATTTTCTTAATATTGCCCTAATACTGAGCACACAGCCCTGAAGGTGGCTGGTGATTTTTTGTTTTTTAATTTCAAGATATTAAATAATTTATTTCTGCTTTATTTTTATTTGACCCACAGTCCAGCCAAATAAAAATAAAATCATAGACTCAATACAAATTAATAAACTCCACAGTCATAAGGCTTGAAAAAAATACTTTGAAAACTATTTATATATGTAGTGGAAGAGAAATTGTAGCTTTTACTACTGAACTTACTCTCAGGCTTTTTCCACCTCTTTACCAGAGTAAGTCAACAAATACGACCAGCAGTGTAACTTGGCACAATAAATGCGAAAAACAAACATCTGTAATGAGCCCAGCTCTGCCTTTAATGTCACACGCACAGATATTCTGCCTCACCAGGTCGACCCATGCCAATTTTCTCCAAGTCTTCATTCTTGACGTAGTCGAAGTGCGAGAGCCGCGTGACGTTGAGGTCGTCTCGGATCCTCTTGAAGTACTGCTGCAGCTGCACCTCCATCAGCAACTCCAGCAGCCATTCCGTTCCTTCCTCACACTGCATGCCACTGCCCAGTCTCTGTAGGGCAAACGGAAAGAAAACACTGGGTGTAAATCGATCAGTGCTGACTCAAAAGCTGTCACTACGTTTCCTGAGACAAAGTCGGTACAAACAAGCAAACCATTCTTTTCTGTACAAAAACAGAAGGAACCGGGCTCACAGGCGGCTTCCTCTGCAGTGATTGTTTGTAACGCAATCTCACTTTGGAAAAAAAAAAAAGTTAATCTCAGATTGGAAGCCAAATAAATGTTACAAGTCAGGATATAAGTAGGTTTTTAGCTTTGCTGCATCATAACATTTTTAAGACAAGCAAGGCGGGAAACCGTAAATCCTTAAAAAAATTTCAGCTACTTCAACATATCCGTCATGTTTTCACTTTCATCTTAATGTAATAATAGAAATTTCCCAGATGAAAAAAGAAAAACTGTTAGTTGGAAAAATTTTCATCCAATAAATGTGCCACTCCATCAGGATTACAACATAACACTCTTCAGTGTAGTGTGGAGACTGAGGGAAGAACAAGTTTTAAGAATGTGTTAGGCACTAAGAATAATTTTATTTGAACACATCTTAAAAAAAACACTTCTAATACCTGAGCTAAATTAGATGTCATAAAAAATCTAAATGTCCTTCAAAGAATCATTATATATTTTTCAACAATCATCTCTAGAATAGAGCTGGCGTTTTTTACCAGGTTGTTCAGCTTTTTGAGAGTCTTTTCACGAACAAATTGCTAAAATAGCATTCTGAAACCAGTTTAAAACAACTCAATTAGATAATTATTCTATTATTTGTCATAGTAACAATGAAACAGCTGCTGCTCCCACACAGTGTGACATCACCTTTACTCAATATAAATTAATAAACTCCCACAGTCATAAGGCTTGGAAAAATCCTTTGCATTATATTCATATATGTGGTGGAAGAAGAATTGGCTCAATTCTTAAAAAGCTCAAATGCTAGAGATCAGAAATCGGACATCTCTGTTAACAGCAACATTCTACTCAGTATTATGGATGGTATGGTCAGTGATGTACCGCCAAAAGACGCTGGTTTCAAAACTGAGCACACAATATCTAAGATGATAACCAACAAAGTTTGACCCCTTTGAGCTAGAGGCCCCGATAAATCAGTAAATCTGGGTTAGTTCCTGAGAAGGAATGTTATATGCTGCTAGCTTTGGAGGAAACCATCCACATGCTTCACACTCAGCCCTCCAGCACAGAACAGAAACCCAGGATGAGTAATGTGCCGCTAGTGTCACTCAGAAGAGCAGGGAAGCTCCAACACAATGTGATTGCAATGCAATAATAAGACAGAGCATCAGTGCTCATTGTTCACAGGCACCAGCTGAAAATATCATCCATCGCTGTCAGCTTAACAAAATCAAGTTTAAGGACAGTAGCACCAAGGTGATCCCAACTGTCGTCAACGTGACAGTCGAGCAGAAAGCACATTTAAATTACAGCGGAGGAAGAACTATACCTGTTCAGGAGATTTCTCCCAGTCCCAAAGACGAGTAAACGCCAAAGTGCCACGAATACTGCAGCAGGAAATAACAGAGACACTTCCTGTCCTGGCGAAGGCAAGGTCACAAAGTCCAGACAGAAATGTCAGATGGGGTCGCAGCTTCCTCTATGCCGTTTCAAATACGCTTACTTAAAGGTTGGCCCCCCATTGTTTAATGACTGGTGACCGAAGGAGCCAAACGTCAGTGTGGCTCACACGCACAAGCACACACACTGACCTACAGAAAATATGGGGCCAAACATTAAAAAAAATGTTTAAATATTCCTAAAGTACAAAATGCACTCATGTCCATCTGTTCCTTTTGCACTCGGTGAACATCAGCTGGGCATCTGCATGTTTTAGAAAGTACAAATTAAGACTTTTTAAGACTATTTTAATGTTACCTTGAATAAAATTTAAGATTGAAAAACTAAATATAAAGGAAGGCTGGGGAATTCTGCTGTTTTACAATCAAGGATAACATAAACAGTGAAATTTCTGGGATCTGCTAATGGCACTTGGCAGTGACATTATGCTTCTCACACCGGATAAGAATTTCAACAGCCTTAACCCCTGTAATGCTAAGTTAATTTAATTTTTTCCTCCCACAGAATGCGCCTAACCTTGTATGGTTAGCCATTGTCTAACCAACTTGTGATACATTCCTACTTTCCTTACCCATGATATGACACCAAAACGCTAGGTAGGTAAGCTAAGGTTGTATTAGCAGCTAGTTAGCGGAAGTTTCAACAACTTTGAGTCACACAACGCAATGAAAATAAAAATTATTTTCATAAATTTAAGGTATTTTAATGCCTCAATTTTAGATAAAGGAATTTCTGACTTTTTAATTTGCATACCTATACATATTCTTGAACACCCATAAAAGTTGGTTAGATAACTTCCTTTTGAAAGCTCCAGGACTGACTACAGCTCCAGTCAACTGAAAGCACCTACAGCCAGACGGTGCTTGGACAAACCCCTGGCTGACCCCGCTACATTTTAAGGACAGCATTGCTTTGGTAAGGAACACCACCGTCAGTAGTTCCACTGATACGGCTGATCCGAGTACACCTCTGCGGTGCAGCTTCCATGGCAGTCGACATGTGGGTGTTATTTCTCTGGACGGTGCCAAAGACGCAGACTGGCTTCCTCCTGGGCCTCGACTTCATGACAGTGTCATATGTGAGGAATGAGGGGGCAAATTAAAGGTGCAAAAGCATTTCCGTGTCAGATGGTTATTTCTACATCAACTAATTAGGTAAATAAATATAAATAAATATATATTAACCAATGCCAATACCTTGGATAAGACCAGGATACAGCTCAAGGCTTTTTTTTTTATGATTAGTGGGGGGTGCACTGATTGGAGTTCTTTGGCCAATCACCAATCTTTAAAAAGCCTGACCTGCCAATTCCGACAACTCAAAAGTTGCTAGAGGGGTCTGAAATGTTGCTAAATATGGTGACAAAGTTATTAAGTTGGCAACAGTGCGGTGACTACTGCTAACCGCACATCTTAACAGTGTGTGCGCGGGGGAAAGCGGCTGATATTGAAACTTTTGTGGAGGTAAGAGGAGATCGTTCAACTGATCGTCAATCATCCAAAATTAAGAAAATTGGTGCCGATTAGTATTTGAATCTCCATGTGACCCGTCATGAATTTTATGATGGATTTTATGGTCAGCTGCACCTCCAGTAAACAATAACCAAATTTTGTCCTGCATATATTCAAAAATTGAAGCTAACTATTTGCATTTATGGCTTGTAAAGCTATAATCTAAGTTTTGCAAGCCACTTTATTTTGTTGATCAAATAATTTTTGGCTTACCCAAATAAAGTCTTTTTCAAAACCGAGTAATTGTTAGTGAAGATGTTAACATTTATATCAGCTACATACCTCAATTGGTGACTGGTTTTTACCAGCAACACTTTTCAGTGTGGATGTTCTTGCTGGATGAAGAAGCATCCAGTCAATTTTCAGGTGTTTAAAATTTTATGGAAAAAAAAAAAAAAGGACCGAGAGATGAGGAGCTAAACCTAAACATCATCGACAACATGTTTCCATCTTTACTGATGTAGACTTATTATAGTACCAAATGAAGTGTTGGATTTCATCTTCAAAAATCTGGTCAGTATTTGGGAAAAAATCCCTAACAGCACACTATGAAGATGGTGTACATCCACGAAAGAGTTTATAATTATTTAGAGATAAGTCAGAATAAAAATAAATAGCATTTTTCCTTTGAGAAGAAAGAGAAAATTGAGCTGTTCTTTTTTGTTTGAGGTTGTGTTTAATTTAAATAAAACAAAGGAATAATCTTTAGGTGTTTATAATTTTCCAATGAAAAAGAAAATGTTTTGGTAGACGAGAGTATGACAGCAGGATTGCAATGTTCCGACCCAAAGGCGTGACTTTTAGCAGGACCCTGAGAAACAAAACTCTGATCAGAAGTCCAGGACTGAGGGTACTTTAATAGCTTTGTTTTTCTACCTCTAAAAAGCAACAAGAGATGGTGAGAACTGTTGGAGAGAAGGACATTTTTATCCCAGACCTTTTTGCAAACACTACAAAAGGCAACGCTTAGGACCAAAAAGGAAGTATGAAGGAAGGATGAGAAAGAGGAATGTGGGAATTTGGAAGCAGCAAAGCAACATGATTTCTGGCTCAATTCATTCCTCATAGTGGTGGTGAATTAACACACACACAGACACACATGCACAGAAATCTCTTGGCCCAGACTAGGTTCTGCTGTAACATCCTGCTGCTGCAACAACAAGTCTCCCAGAGGAGAGCCCCTTTCACATCTTCCTGACTTCATCATACCACAACCATGATTCATGATTCACAGCTCCAGCACATGACCCAGCTCCGTAGCTACAACCGGCCGCGCCGCGGCGGACACTTACACGGTACAGATGGAAGCGTGCCACGAAGGGGAAGGCTTTTTTCAGCTTGTCGATGCGCCGCATTGCCAAACTGCTTCTTCTGGATCAGAGTGGAAAATTAAAGTGCGAGTTGATTCAAATAGCTGTCCTGTAGGCTGTTAATAAAGCCTCAGTTTGGAGTGACAGAAGATGCGCGGACAGTCTTTGGATGCGAACCTGAAGCTCTCATCCGGTGAGCGGGAAGCAAAACGTCCAGCGACTCGGTGACATTCCATGGCAGGACAAGTTCCCACGTAAAGCCTCTACAGCCTCATCGCAGGGTCAAGAAGGCTATTAAATGCAGCACTCATGCATACAAAACAGAAAGATTAAAAAAAAGTCTGATTATATGAGGAAAGACTGATGGATGGGTCAGCCTCGTCCTGCGTGTACAGACGGCAATGAGCCAGTTATTTAAACTTGCAGAACTTCACAAATAAGACACGCCTCCTTCCTCCAGTCCTTCCTCCATCCCCACCCCGACTCTCAGCTTTGCATATGCAACAACCCGTATGTTTGCTTTTCTGTCCCTCCGACGCGCATGGAACTAAAAATAGGAACGACTTCTCCCCGATTTGACT